GCCGCCCCCCCCCCCCCCCCCCCCCCCCCTCCTCCCCCCCCGCCGCTGACGTTCAATCGCGCGTGCGCGCTCCGCGTTTTTGTGCGCCGCGGAAAATAGTCCGCGGTCACTCGACGCGAACGAGCACCTCCCCCTTCCTCTCCACGTCCCTGAGACCCAAGGGGTAGTGCGGAGAGCCGGTGCTACGCTCCACGTCCCCATTTAAAAAAATCAATACTTAATAATTAGCAATTAATACGCCCGCCGAGTGTACGTGTGTGCACGTGTGCCGCGATTACCTTCTCCTCCCTCCCCCCTTGTCACCCGCCTTTCGTTCCGCCCCGGCGTTCTGTCGCCCCCCCCCCCTCCGCAGCCCTTTAATCACGCCGCGTTCGTTATAATGACACGATCATTATTTCGTTAATTATTCGTATCGACGTTTGTTATTCTCCCCCTTTTTGTCCCGGCGACAGGATGATTTTCGCTGGAGCGCCGAATCATGCGGAAGAGAATATAGAAAAAGAAACCCCAGCAAATTCATTTGTGGATGGAATTAATTATTTGAGAGAATTATAATATCGATGCCATTTGATATGATTGACGATGACGTTTTCAATAAAATACGCGTCTTATTTCGTCGGTATCTCGACACATGCTGTAATAAATATAATTAGCAACAAAATGTAATAAATTGATTAAACGTCAACATAAATAATATGAAAAGAATATATACATGTATACATATATATGATATTAAAATGCTCAATTATAATAATGTTTGCGAGAAGATAAAAAAATAAGAATTAGTTGCGCTAAATCGGCTTTCTTTTTAGCATGAATCATTAACAGAGAAAAAAGATAAATTATAAGAGAACATTAAAAAATATACCTCGTTAACTACAGTTAATTATTTACCTTTCTCTCGTTGTGGAATGGTTATCGATGTATTGCCCTAAATTTAGATCCCATTGTAAAATGCATTTCAGTTTATCGAAAATATTTATTATCCTCTGATTTTCGTAATCGCGATAAATAACGCGCAGAGAAACAAATGCGAATGAACGAGGAGGAACATAACCTCTAAGAGTCTCTCTCCGGATTTTGGAATAAAAAAAATCATGGAAACAGTTGTTAAATTCTTGTCATTTTCCACATACACATTTTATCGTAGGAAAAAGGAAAAATCATGTTGAAATATTCGAGAAAAATTAAAAAATTGCGGTATACTTTTTGGAGAAGTTATATCGATACTTTTATCTCCGGTAAGCGGACCGTTCAGTAGACCGACAGCGAATTTGATCAGGAATGATCAGAAATCGCTGACAAATCAACATTGACTGATTCGCATTAAGCTCTCGTTACTCTTGTTTTAATGAACAAAATATCACAGTTTGGCCATTCATGGTTTGGAGCATTCTGACATAACCTGATAATAGATTGAGAGTAGAAGCTGAGTTCGTCAATGCATTTTCGCTCCATTTTTGCCGGCAATCTGCGTCAACTGTGTAGCAACATGTCAAAACCTGCTTGATTTGTCGTCATATTTTGTTGACGACAACATAATTTGCTATATCTCTGCTAAAATTCTGCCAACATTATTGAATATGCCAGAATCTATATTATATCCATCACATCCATAGTTTCTGTTGGGAAAATTTATAACAGACATTTATGACAAAATCTGTTCTTAACACTCCTGACTTAATATCTCTCGAGAAGATGTTGAAGAATACGTTTAGATACATGCCACTGTTGTACAGTATCGCTAATAAGCCGCTACACTTATGGTCGAAACATGTATCCTTTGGTGGCAAAGTTCGTAGAGTGAGCGACAATCAATTGCATGGAGATAAAGTAATCGAGATCACTGGGCCTCACGACAACACGATTCCCACGAATATAACTATTCCTGCCAAAGCACTAGACATCCTGAATATAAAACTTCCTATTCTCATATTAATTGTAAAGAATTTGAACTTGTGGTTCAAATTGGAAGTTCAAGTATATGTTCTTTAAAGTTTATGATAGATATCCGTATTATTCTTAATATCTTAATAATGATTCTCTACTTTTGATACATATGAAGATAATAGATAAGCAACAATATCGGAGAAGATTCTCCTTTATGACCTACAATGTTGAAAAACTACCAAGCATCAATGCAAGTATAGCTCGTATTCCATTGAGATTGGATGACTGTTGGAATTTCTTAGAGATAAATCTTCAAACTCTTTGTCACCAAGTGTATAAGACGGATTACGAGGCTCTGCAAAGAGTAACGATCTATCAGAATTGTCATTTAAGAAGAGTGTATCTGCAAAATCGTCATTATAATGATGATGAGCTGTATCGAACTTTCTTCAATATGTATATGTTAAAGCAGGGAATCACTTTCATCGAAAAGTCTTGTCAGACGGAAGATTGTTACACAGGTTTTATAAATTCTCGAAGAAAAGTGAAATATATACATATATTAGCGTATATTTATTTCTTTTTGGCTTTTAGGACCTTTAGAGCAATCTGATTTGAATTGTTTTGTTGAAGATAATTCTAGTAGTACACTGTTAACAAAAATGGATTCACGTAAAACCGCAGGCAGCATGGAAAAACTGAAAAGTAATCTATCGATGAATTTAAATTTATATAATTCTGATACATTAAAAAGGAATCACATGTTACTGGATGCGTTAAATGATGCAATAAAAAAAACGGTATGTTTTTTGAAGACAAAGTGAATGCTTCACAAAATTTCTAGTAAATGATCCAGTTATAGAAAATAAATTAAAAAAAGATAGATAGATAATAGTAGTGACAACAGAAAAAGTAAATCAACATTATGAAAACGTATAAGACGGAAAACTCTTTACTAAATATAAAAATTAATAATCATACGTCGCGACTTGCGTCTTCTATCGAATTAAAAACGATCATGAAGAGCCAATTTTTGAAAATGTCAACGAAATATTATTCTAAGATAATGGAATTCCAAAACGTCCGCCGAAAATTCAGAATGCAGGAGATACATATATTAACTTAATGAACTGCACGTTAAATAATAACGCTAATAAAATACAGACAGGAAAAAATAATTCCACGACACCAAAATTTAAAGTAGATGCCATGGGTTTTTTGTCGTTTTTTAAAGCCGATCTATCTGAAAACATTAAGCTTGATAACATAAATAATAATGTGTCTGACATTTCAAGTAATGAATACATTCGTTCTAAGCATAAATATGTAAAAGAGAGTGATAAAAGTACCGCCAGTCGTTTAAGATCTTTAGTTAGTATTGAAGATGCTGAAAATTTAAATGAAAATATATATAAACAAATGCATTCCATCTCTAATTGAGAAAGAAGACGAGAACTGGACGAAATGACAAGGCATGTATTTAACGATGGATAAAACTTACATATCAAATTTTGTAGCAATAAATTATTCCGCGAAGAAAAATTACAGGATAAAGAACTTACCGTATACATAGAATTATTATTATATAATATAACAAGTATCGAAGAAACTGTCAAGAAAAGTTTACGAACAAAGATGACATACAAATAAATGTATTGATTCGCAATAAATTTAACTGCTTTTTAACAGATTATTTGAAAAAGTAGAATTTTAACAAAAATATATAAACAGGAAAATACATACAGTGAGAGCAAAAAATATTCATACAAGGAAATTTTTTATAAAGTCTTATTTGTAAAAAATAAACATTAACTAGCAATTTTATACAATGAATATATTCTGTTCTATAATTAATACACATCTTTTTGATATATAATTTTAAAAAACATAATCTATTTTATTATTTATAAATAAATTGTTAATTACTTAGCAAGAAATGATCGTCAATTAAATGTCGAATCGACGTCTTTGATGTTGAAATCATCGTATCGATATTAATTCGACATCAATTCGATGACTCATTTCTCGCTGGATAATATTTACTTTTTAAAAATAAAATTTTAAAACTATTTTCTCTGTACAAATACTTATGCACTCACTGTATGTATTTTTTTTCCATATATAGTGACAAGCAAAATTACACAATTCTTAATACATAAATTGCATATACATGATCTATATTCTATTAAGTTAACATTAACTTTAATGAATATTATATTATTAATTATATTACTTGCAATTGTTTAAGCAGCGTATGAAGTTAAGACAGCCTTCAATAAATTTTTTATTTTGAAAGTAATTCGAACAAATTTTTGAAAAAAAGTTTCAATTGAACAACTTTTCTTTCTTTTATTAAAGATGCTCGCATTTCCTTCATTAATTATCAACATTTTGCCTTATTTTGAATAGGCAAGAATAATTTAAATTCTGCCGGCAATTCGTCCTCTGAATATAATCGATCCGAAAAGTACACTCGCCGTATCCTACAATTAGCATGAATTTGGACCCTCAGTGTCTCTACATAATTTGTTCCATAGGCACGACGTGTGAAGTCAGCCAAATTGAATTGTATTTGATTCCATCCATCGTCCAGTCTCATTGGCATTGTACATATAAATGGTTTCACTCTCGTTGTTGATTGATAATTACTCGCACGAAATCTACGACGTACATTTTTGTCATCAATTATCTGTAATATGTAAATTTTTTTTATATTAGGAAAGAGAGATTGAGTATTTAATGAACGAAAGAATTCATAAAATTTCTTAAATATATTAAATATTTTTTTAGAATGATACAGATTAAGAACAGTCGACTTGTAATGAATAGGTTTTGAATTTGTTTAGAGTCTCAAAGTTAAATTAAATATTTTTCCCTTAATTTTTCCATAAATTATAATAAGAACCTCACCTGAACCTCAAATGTGAAATACTTTTTTAGATTCTTGATAATCATCACCAGAAAGGGCAACTTTATGCCCAAAGTCTTCCTTGGATCTGCAGGACACGTGATATATGTTGTGCTAACATTGCTGCCTAGTATCTCCAGGACAAGGCTTTGAATATCATTGTCAGTGATCCTCTTGATATGTCCATTTCTCACTTTCTTGTCCCAGATTTGCAGGGGTTTGCTGCCAATGCTGTACAGAATGGATAGAAAACCACTTTGGAAGGTGTTCTTGAACATTTTCGGATTCGTTTGGGATCCTGCTGCTCTGACAATTTTCTTATACCAAGACAAGGTTACCTCTCTATTTTCTCGTCAAATCTGCAATAAATTAATCTGATGAATTCGGCCGATTCCTCGGCGTCGATCAAATACCGCAACTAACCTTCTTCCATCTTAAGTTAATAAAACTATGCTAAATAAATCCCGGAGTGGAATGAAGGCACCATCGGCACAGAAAAGATCAAGCTGAAAACACGTTACGGGTGACGATTTAGGAAATTCATGCTTATACTTGAAATAATAAATTTTCCTTTGTGCATCGATTGTTTTACTTTAATTCATCTGAATCCATCGTTTTACGAATTGTTTCTTACGAAATATTAGCAGCGACTCTAACCTATAATCGACTGTTTGATCGATACATTGTTCCACACTATTCGTATGAATACATTAACGTAATCGATGCTTCATCTTGGACGTCAGACCTCAGAATAGCAAGCTCAAAATTATTAGATTACAAGTATAAATTTAATTTAGATTGCATTTATTATTAATTCCTTTATATTTTTTAAGGTTATAACAATTTAAACTAATGATAATATACCATTGCAGTTCACACATTACGAAGACAGTGGTAGACTTTTCGTGGCGAACCGTTGAACTACGATATCCATTTCTTTGTCTCGTCAATAAGGAAGAGATTCTTCATTTTTTTTAGTTTAGAGTTAGAGTAAGTAATAAAGTATGTTTCAGATATTTTAATTTATACTTTTCAGACAAATTTTTTTTATTCAGGATAATTTTTCTCAGAATTTTTTATATGAATTAAAACACTTTTCAGAAACGCTGAAAAAGTCTTGGTTCAATTAATTTTTTATCTTTTTGTAATTTCAGAATTAGAAAAGCTACTGTTTATTTTTCTCTAATTCTAGAATCAGAAAAATAATAAATTAATTAAACCGATATTGATAAAACTAGGCCTTGGAATTTTTCATATATGTGAATTTCAAAATATTGTAAGGTATATTTCCATTTTATAATTTCTGAAGAAATATTCTAAACTTTTTCAGATCTTATAAAATTTTATTAAAAATGAGAGATAGAGAGAGAGAGAGAGAGAGAGAGAGAGAGAGAGTTCTTTAAATCTTAGAATATTTCAGAATTTACATACATGAAAAATTTTAGAAAAAAAATGTAAATTTTTTCAGCAATTTCAATTTGTATAAAATATCTAAGAAATTTTCTAAAAAAAGTATAAATTTATTCAAAAATTTTAAAATTTATATAAAAATTTTAAAATTTATATAAAAATTTTAAAAAATTGTATGAATAATTCTGAAAAATATTTTCACCAGTAAGATTTTAAGTTTTATTAAGATAAGATGTATCTATGAAATTTTTGTAGGAATTAAACAAATTAAGAATGTGCATACTAAAATTTTAGGTAAATCAAATCTCACAAATACTTACCAACTAAATGATACTTGATAAAGGATATTTTTTATTCAAACGAAAGCTGAAATAATAAGGACAGATAAAATAAAATATTTTTGTATTCGTGTGCCACCTTGTCATGCGTATATTTGAAACGCACAGTAAAAAGGCCATATACATGTACGTGAAACCTTTCTACAATCAACGTTCTCATCAACGTCAAATACAAACTGATGCGGATAGAGGAAAGCAGTAGATTCCTATACGTCATACAATTCACTTTCGAAAATGCAATTAAAGCTTCATCGGTACGAATGATCTCCTCAATCGTTAGGACGCATTCACTTAAGGAGCAATCATTCCTCTCGATAGATGTTGTCGAGAACTCGCATTACGCAATTGCGTTTTATACATACGTTACAGCAAATCGTTAAAAACAAATTATTTTACTTAAAGTGTAAATCTAACATAATCGGAACTACATTACGGTATCGTATACGGTACTTTCTCTCATGCTCGGCAATGCCCTATAAAACACAATATTCCTAGAATGAATATTAAAAAGGATAAATAATATTCATGTATCATTCTGGGGTAAATTTATCGTTCACAACGTTCGCGTGCATCATTTCATCCTTGTTTAACATACATTTGATAACAAGAGTGAAATAATACTTACAAAATGAAATAATACTTACAGAATGTTAAATGAAACCCTAGGAATATTGTGTGCTTACAGAGTGATTCCGCCACCTGAAAAATTGCGAGAAGTTAATTGTATATTTTACAGAAGCTTTACATAGTAATGTTGTAACATGATGAAACGGCAGCGGTCACTTGATCTTCCTTATACTAACCGAAAGTAAGCAAACGTAGCGGTTGTATGTGCGATGGCAAAACAAAATGATGGAACGAAATATGGATTACGCATGAAACTAATATTACACATTCTTCTTCTTCTTCTTCCTGACGGTGTCGACATATTAGTTTGTGTTCCTCAACACCTTGCGGATCAAGCCGGACAACGCAATTGACTTCTCAATGCGAACGAGCGAGTTTTTTTCTCTCTTCAGTGTCGAAGGATTTCGGTTTCCGGTATCTCGGTAAATTGATACGTTATATTCGCTTATCTATTGTTAATATTAACTATACGATATTACAGTTCATAACGTGAAATTATTCCTTTTCTCTTACAGCGTATGCGACGTAAATTATTTAATTTGAATCTTTATCTCGCTTAGTTCTTGAAAAACTATATGTATATAATGGAATCTACTACTGCGTCTTGTAATACTGAATGTCACATGAACAAGAAAGGCCCACTTATAAAAGCGATCGGCAAAACAAAACCCAGCTAGAGTCTCGAAGAGTCAATAAATAATTTTTTCCCAGCAAATGTCTCAAACAAACCTCCTTTTAATGGATAGATCCATCATTTTCACGCGAACATTTCTTACAAATTTTCAATATACCGAGTATCGGGCATTATAAATAAAAATGCACACGACTTTAGTGAACAATAATACAGTTTATTAACCGTTATAGAATGTTTATGTAAACGCTTGTATTTATTGTTCAGTAAATCGTATATAATACAAGAGCAATGAATAGAAGATAGCAAGTCGCTTGGTTTTGAGAATGCCGGTACAAAACTCTGTGTCGTTACATCATAAAAGGCAACGTTCAATCAGTTTATATGGAGACGCATAGAACTTTAAATCAAAAAGTAAAAGTTAGTAAATCATATTCAGTTTGTACCGTTTCTCAATGTCTATCTTCATTCATTATTAAGTTTCTTCCACTCTAGTATTCTTACTCGTTTCTCGACAATAATACAAAATTCACCGTTCTTTCAGGATTATTTCTCAGCAAAATTAAAACAATTTCGTAATAGTCCGGACGCAACGGGACAAATTTTGAATTATTGTCTTCTCTTCTTTTTTCTCTCTTTTTTAGATTCATCGAAATTTCCGACGCAACGTATCATTACTACCTGCGAACGATAGGTGTACGGAAATTTCTATTCCCCTCGCTTCTCAACCAGACAAAATTCGCCGTTTTCAGGCTGTGTTTCTTATCGCAATTTAAAACAACTTTAATAGTCTTGACGTAACGGGACAAATTTCTTTATTACTATTTCTTTTCTTTCCATTTTATATTCGCTGAAATTTCCTATGCAGCGTATCATTACTTCTTATCCGAATGACAGATGTATGGAAATTTCTGTTTTCCTTCATTTCTCAATATTTTACGATACATGAATATGTAACCCCAGGTTGCTTCTGGCCCCCGTAGAAAAGCAAATTGGGGCATAGGGACAGTGTATATCGCATTACGTATGTTTTACCAATTTAAACATTAACTACCTTAATCTTTCACACGTATCTTTAGCGCACGTAGCCAGAGTTTACTCTGGAAAAATACGTGATTTTATGTATAATTTTCATGCGACTAAATAGAAATAAATTTTTAAATTGTTTTTTTTTTTTTCAAATAAAAGCGATGAAAAAATATACACACAAAATATATAAAATCAATTTCGAACAACCGACAATAAAAAAAAGAAAAAAAAAGAAAAATGATCAATTAGACAAGACATATTTATTCATGATAGTATGTGGAAGCTAAGATTCAATTGAAAAATTAAGAGATGGTCGCATTTCATCTCCAGGTCGTGTTGTTTTACTTAACATTTTCCTATAGTGTTCATTATATATTATAGATTGATCCTAACTGGAGAATGACCATTTTGAATCATCATGGATAAGTATATTAATATTGTGATCCTGTCAATGAAAATGTGTTACAATAAATACAATAGTTATACATATTTGTCACTGCTAGGATCGCAATCACGATCAAACACCAATAATTCCTTGCGATTCCATAGCATTATTAATTTTGCAAGAGTTGTAATATATGAATCGTTCAATGATACGCTATTGTACGTGATTTATAACAATAGATTGCCGATAGTCACAAAAACTTATCAATGTCTGTTGTGACTAATCAGACGTTTCTAGTCATTAAACGAAAGAATTCTTACATAATTATTAAATACATATCGCTTATTGGTGCTTGAATGGCATTTCAATATAATTAGGACACTGCAAAAGCTCAGGAAGATTTCTTACATACTAATAGCTAATTAAAATAATTTTATATATTGATTCAAATTTATATTCGATGATTATTTTAAATAATTTTATATAAGCTGATTCAAATTTAGATTCGATCTGATTTTTCATATTATATTTCAGTAATGTAAATAATATATAGCAATTCAATAAATAATAAACATATAAAATGAAAAAATCTATCATGCACAACGCTTTATTTAATTCATCGACGAATTTTTCTGAGGTACATATAAATATATTTTTACAATTACAAATATAGCCAGATTATTGTGTAGCAACTTTTTTCAATATAAATTATTATATTGGAAAAAAAGATTCACACAATGAGTTTTTTTTAATAGATCAGATTCCTTAAAGGAATCGGATTTAGTAAAAAAAAATGTTAATACAACCGCGGCTGAGACTTTCTTAGAGTGCAATCAAAGAAAAAAGTCTCTGTCGAGGAATATCATATCTACAAATGAACTGGCAATAAATGAACAATAATTAACGTTATCAATTTTGTAAAGAACTTTGTAACAATGAAATTCATTTAACTTCCTTTTGCGGTGTCCTGGAGAAGCATAAATATAACTCAACATTATATATGTCTTAAGCGCTACTCAGTTACTTATCGATAGCTCCATCCATAATGTTATTTTTAACTTGAATGCTAATGTGTATTCCATCACCAGACGCACCTTTGTCCTTCTTCACTTGTGCTGCGTTCGAGGCATTATCAAGTCCCAATTTACTAAGTGTACGGAGCGCCCTTAGAGCCGCTTGATTGCGGCTCGCGGTTATTGTTGCTCCATTACCGTGACAAACTTGCGGTGGATCAGTGCTTAGCGACACAAGTGATAAATATTCTTTGTTTATAGATACTCCCTGAAACATTAATGAGAAATAATAGTTTATAATTTATCTGATAATATGGCAACATCATCATTTCGTGTTCATACTATGTTCCACCTTAATTAATTAGAATTATTTTAATATTTTTTTAATTTTACTG